AAAAAAAAAAAAAAAAAAAAAAAAAGAAATACCTAACACTGTTCATTAAATACCTTGTTTAAGAAAAGTTAAAAGGGTTTATTCCCTGAAGTTTTAGGGGCTGTTTGGAATGAAAATAAATTAGAAGAAAAACATTTAAAGTAATTTATCAGTAAGCACAATTTCCTACTAATGATCTGTGTGCCCCTGCCAGGCCCTGGAGTAGATGGACACTACCACCCCTATTTCTGTCCACACTGATCTTTGGTTTTTTTTGTTTGTGTTTGATCTTTGCCTTTTTATCACTGCAACTGCTGAAATCCCAGTTTTGCAAAGCAGGTGGTTACAGAAAGGGGTATGGCAGAAACTAATGATGCACAGTGCTGTGTTCTCTTCAAATGTGCAATTAAGCCTGCAGAATGCCATGCGCCCTCTGCAGAGACTTGGTATGCCTTGGGACACAGTTTGGGAGCCATAGGTGGAAGCTCCACAGTGGTGATGAGAACAAGTGGTGACAGTGGAGTTGTGAAGACCTCGGAGCCTGCCTGTTTCAGCCCCTTCACCTGTGACCTGGGGTACTGGGGAACAAGAGGCCTGTTTTGCAGAGGCCAGCACCAACTTCCTGGATGAGTGCTTGCCATCCGTGGGTCTTGAGCTCAGTCACAAGCCAGGGTTGTGGGAGTCTCTGTGGCGGGGTGGTGGGGGATAACCTGGGAGGCTAGAGAGGGTCCAGCTGTGGGATTTCACATGTGGACCCCAGCCTGTCTTTCTGCCCCTAGGGACTGCTACTATGACAACTCGACCACGTGTCCCAAGTGTGCCCGGCTCAACTTGAGGAAGCAGTCCCTCTTCCAGGAACCTTGTCCAGACATGAACGCCTAGAATGCTGGAGGAAGCTCCAGGCACCCTTGCCATCTGGCATGCACCCTGATGGCATTGCCAAAGAAAGGGCATTCATTCTGCTGCAGACCCCTGGGGTGCATCCTAGATAGAGGAGGTATAGCAGTGCCCACCAGGACTGTTGTTGCCTGGGTGCTTGCTGGGCCCTGGGGCAGCTGTACCTGGCTGGTACCTGTGTGTGCTGTTTTGAGGGGTTGTGATGTGGCCACCGTAGAACCCCACGGGCAGGGTGATCGGGGTGACTCACCAGGGGAGGGAAGGAGGACCTCTCACCTCCCTCATAGCACAGCCCCCATCCCTGCCCCGGGCCAAGGCCTCTGGGTCCTGCAGATGCCCCTGCTCCTGTCCAGCCCACCATGGCCACAGGCCAGGCTGAGACCCTTGAGGGTGTCAGAAGAGTGAGGAATGAGACCTGAGGAAGCCGCCTGCATACAGCCATCTCCGCCTGAGTTTTGTCTGCCATGGTGGATGGTTTCAGCTCCTGTTCCTCCCAGCCCCTTTGAGGGATTCTGGTGGTCCCTGTCTTGGGATATTTAGTTGTGTCCCACGCTCCTGTCCTGGCCTCCTGAGGGCCTTCTGAGTCCTCAGGCAGGCAGTCCAGTGGGATTCCTTGTCCTGGTACAATAGGCAGAGAGAGAGGGGCGTGGAAGCTTGGCTAGCTGGACACCCCAGCTCTGCCTCTGGCTCTGGCCCAGCCCACCTGACCCTGGTGCTCTGAGCTAGGCAGCCAGAGGCTTTGCCCACGCTGGTATCCTGGCTTCCAGGTGCACAGCAGGGATAGTGTCCCTGGGGAAGGTGCCAGGTCAGGCAAGAGGGTTGGATGCAGTTGGCCTGGGTGGCATTTCTTGGGACCAAAGCTGTCTTGTTGCCATAGTGCCTGTGAAAGGTTTAGTTGACCTCTGGGCTGGGGGGGCTCTGGGAGTATTTACTCAATACAGCCCTGAGCAGAAGGCCTGGAGCCCCTGCAGGAAGACCCAGACTGGAAAGTGCACCAGACCTGTATGTCTTCAGTGGAAGCCGCACTCAGCTGTGTTGTTTGCACTTTACAGATTCTGTGGTGAGAGGGTGTAGGAAGGGACATCTCAGGACATGGCTTCCTAGACTTTCATCTCTGGACAGCGGAAGTTGCTTGTATCTATCTGTCCTTTTCCTCTTTTCCCTGTACTGAGCTTAGCTGTTGACAGACACTCAGTGGACAGAGAGGGCAGGGAACATCACCATTTGCATGTCCCTTGCCTTCAGCCAAGTCCAACACAAGTCACCTCCACCAGCAGGAAGCAGCTGAACTCACTGATGCATTTGAAGAGTAGATGAAACAGCATCACCTCCTTGGCCATGTGCCAGGTGGTTTTAGGCAAGGCTCTTTTCTTTCTTGGAGTCCCCATGTGAAAAATGGTGAGAGTGGTATTGGCCTACCTCAGGTGGAAGGGATCACTGGCAGTCCTTTGAGGAGTGATGTAAGGCTTCGTCAGTGGCTGACCCTGCTCTGCTTCCCCTTCCTCTGTGGTACTAAATGAGGTTAAAGCCAATGCTTTTTATTTTAACCCCAAAACATGCACATTTTTCATCATTGCATCATATTTCTGTCATACATATTGCCATTACTTTTTTTTGAGATAGAGTCCTGCTCTGTAATTCAGACTGGCCTTGAATTCACTATGTAGCCCAGGCTGCCCTCAAACTCATGGTGATCCTCCTTCCTCAGCCTCCCAAGTGCTGGGATTATAGGCATGCACCACCAAGCCTGGCATAGAGATTGCCATCACATTATCCCATTTAAAAATTACTGTGTCCATGAAAATGCTAGGTTGGTATTTTTTTTTTTTTTTTTTTTTTTT